TTATGGCCCCCTTTGATTGTACACCCACTAATCCACATCGATCCTCTTTCAATTTTAAGAAAATTATGCTATGTCCTCCAAAATATCCCTTATTATAGAAAGGAAAAAGTTCATACAGAGCCGAGGATCTAAACAATGAAATTAGAACCCACATCAAAAATTTCACTGCAAGAGGTTGTTTTGATGTCCAAATGTCCTCAAATTGATCATTTTGACATCAAGATGCATGGACATGAGAAAAAAATGGATTTCAAGTTTTGTAAATAGTGTTTCTTGTAATGTATTTTTAGACCTTCAATTTTCAAGATTTCCAAGTTTTCATAGATTAGCTCCATCTACACTATTTTTGAAGCTTTAAATTTTATAATTAAAGATGAAAGTTTATTTTAAAGTTATCACAAATATTTTCAGTATTGAAACCACATTTTTTGACACATTTGATTGTTTGGAGCCTTGGCTATACAAACCACACCTTTTCTAAAATACAAATTTTATAATATATGGTGGAAATAAATTCCGGAGGGTGAGACTTTACTTTTTCTTTATAGGAAAATAGTTTGATAGGGCTGCAATCCTATCAAAATAATTAAAACGTCACATCATAATTCATCACAAATTTGTGGAAACAAAAAGGATTTTTAGCTTTAAAAAATGGTGTATATTAATAACCTTCCACCCAAAAATTAAGTGATCATAGATCTACAAGATCTGTAGAAATTTATTAAGTGATCATAGATCTACAAGATCTGTAGAAATTTATTAAGCATAGATCTACAAGATCTGTAGAAATTTATTAAGTGATCATAGATCTACAAGATCTGTAGAAATTTATTAAGTGATCATAGATCTACAAGATCTGTAGAAATTTATTAAGTGATCATAGATCTACAAGATCTATACCATTGTTGATGTTAAGCCTTGTAGTATCTAGAAACCAGTCAGTCCTTTTGATGATGGCTGGACAGTTGTTCACCATGGAAAAAAGAAAGGCATGATTGATTCGCATCCTGTTACGGATTTTTCGATGTCTTCTCGCTAGAATATGCGTAATAGAAGGGATTTTCAGTCTGCTTTTGGTGTCATTTTGAAATCTCAAAATTTGAAAATCACCAAACATTGGATCCAGTGGGATGGTTCTCTGACGTTTCGGCTTCCTTTGCATCTCCAGTTTCCAATGTTTTGGAAGGCTCAGTTTACCATGGGAGTCCTGCGGGTTCACCTACTTTATTGACGATGCAATCTGGCGGTCAATCTTCGCTTGACAGGGCGGCGGCCCAAGTCCCGGAATCTCAGACTGAGCTGGAGGCCTTTTCGGTTTTTACGCTGTCGATTGCAGAAAAGCCATCATGGCTGTCTCATCCATCTTTTCGGCTTAAGGCAGTGGCTCCTCCTTCTGATCATAAGAGTGCTACTTGCCACCATTGGAGTTGGGTTCTGCGTTTGTTTCTCTTCGGCTCCAACAGTCTTTGTCACTAGCTCTTCACGCCGCCCTAGCTTTCCTAGGAAGATGTATCCGTTGGCGCATCGTCGTGCTGCTCATAGGATTCATTCTTCTCCTAGGCTTTCCTTTAACTCGTTGGATGGCCGGATGAAAGTAACTATGCTAATGTTGTTACGCAATCTATGTGTCTTTTTAACCATTTAATTGAGAGCCATGCCTTAATTGCCTTTCCTATCTTTAGAGCCAACTTTACTTGGAAAAATGGGAGTCTGGTGAATTTGTATATGTCTTCCCGCTAGCCATGGTTAAAGTTTTGCCAGGCTTTCTTCTGACCACACCAATATTTTACTGTGTACTAAAAAAGTCTCTAAGTGCCCCACACCTTTCAGACTGGAGATAAGTTGGTTGCATGATAAAGAGGTAGCTGAGCTAATTAAGCGTATGTGTGAGAACACCATTTCGGTGGGCTCCATGAACTTCCAACTTCATAAGAAATTGCTCAATATTAAACACAAGTTACTGGTGTGGAAAAGAAGTAGTGGCATGAATGTTAAATGTGCGATTGAGGATGCTCTTAGCAAAATCGCCTTGGTGGATTCTATTGTTGATTATACTGGGGTGCCATCAGAAGAGTTGGTTTTGGAGAGAGTTGAGTGCTCTAAAAAATTATTGAATCTTAGGAGAGTTGAAGAAACCTACTGGAGGTAGCGTTCTCGTGTTAAATGGCTCAAAGAAGGAGATCTCAACACAAAATTTTTTCACGCCATGACCAATGCCCGCACTAGACATAATGATCTGTCTGGTCTTTTTATCCAAGGTGTGGACCTTAAGGATTCAGATGGGATGTCTAGGGCTATCATTAGCCATTTCCAAAAGGCCTTTACCTATGAGATAAAGGAAACCCTAGGCTGAAGAGGGTAGGTTTTCAAATTCTTCCCTCTCATCTGCTGTCCTTTTTGGAAGGGGAAGTTTCGATGGTTGAACTAAAAAAAACTGTGTTTTCCTTACCATGTGATAAGGCTCCTGGTCCGATTCGGTTTCCCCTTATCTTTTTTCATACTTTTTGGAATGTTGTTAATGACGAGCTCTTGAAAATGGTTAGAGCTTTTCTTAGAAGAGGGGAGTTGTTCAGAGGTGTCAATTCTACATTTATAGCTCTTATCCCTAAGAAATCTGTTATTGTTAACTTAGGCGATTTCAGACCTATCAGTCTGCTTTCAAGCCTCCACAAAACTGTTGCTAAAGTACTTACGAAATGGCTCAAGGCAGTGTTACCATTCATTATTACGGGCCTGCAGTTTGCCTTCATTAATGATAGACTTATCATTGATAGTGTTTTGGTCGCCTTGGAATGCATTCACTCTCGTGTTCTAAATGGGCTTCCTGGTTTAGTGATTAAACTGGACATGGAGAAATCTTATGATAGAGTCGAATTTAGTGTTCTTTTGGAGATAATGAAAAATGGGGTTTAGGGAAAAATGGAGGAACTGGATTTATGGATGCCTCTCTTTGACACACTTTTCCATTTTATATAATGGCTGTCATTCTGGTTACTTTAATGCTTTGAGAGGTATCAAGCAAGGTGACCCCCTTTCCCCTTTACTTTTTACCATTTATGCTGAATGTTTTAGCTTATTCATTACCATCTTAACCTTAAAAGGGTATTTTTTAGGCTTTCAGATGCCCAATGATGGTCCTTACATCTCTCACTTTCAATATGCAGATGATATCTTGTTATTCTGCGAGGTAAGGGTTGAGCAGATTGCCAATATTGCCCCCTTTCTTAAGTGCTGTGAAGTGGCTTTAGGCTTGAAGATTAATTTTGAGAAGACGGGAGTAATTGTGTTAATTGTGAAGATTATTTGGTGAATATCTTGGCTGATGTTTTGGGTGTTAGGGTTGATCACTTCCTAATTTTATACTTTGGATTGCCTATCTCTGATGGTCGCTTACCACTAGCTTTTTGGGATAGGGTGATTCAACGGATACAAACTAAAAGTCCAAATTTCTCTCTTTAGGGGGCAGGATCACTTTGATTAAAACTTGTTTATCTAATCTCACGATTTACCAAATGTCTATTTTACAGATTCCAACTTCGGTTGCTCGTAAAATTGAAATGCTTATAAGGAATTTCCTATAGGGTTCTTTGGGTGAATCCAAAAAGTTTCATATTTTACGGTGGGATAAGGTTTGCACAACGAAGAGTGACGGGGGTTGGGTTTTAGGAAAATTGAATTAGTCAATCAGGCTCTTTTTTATGTAACTGGTGGTGAAGAAGCTTAAAGTTTAAAAAGCACTTATAGTATCAAGTAGTTGCTACGAAATATGGGGAGCCTAGATTCAAGATGTGGGTTGGTGGGAGCAGCCATAATAGAGATTCTTCTCTATGTTGGAAAGCAATTAGCTTTTGTAAGCCCCTGCTCCATAGGGACATTCACTGGTTGATCGCTGATGGGGGAAATATTTCCTTTTGGCACCATAAATGATTTGATAATTCTCCTTTGAAGTACGTATTTCCTTTGGTTTTCCAAAAGGTAGCCAATCCTAATGCTGTCATTCGGGATTTATTTGTCAAAAGAGGTGATAAGGTTGATTGGCAAATTAACCTTATTTATAACAGAATCCCAGATGATTTATTCCTCCAATTTTCTGGCTTACTAGTGGCACTTAAAGAAGTCTATATCCCATATATGGCAGAGGGATGATTTGGTGTGGGATTTATCTAAGGATGGGGCTTTCTCGGTTAAAGCTATGTACCACATATTATTCCATGATCGATGGCGATGGTCTGTGCTGAAAATTGTTGTGATCTGGAAATGGCCTTTACCGTTGAAGATTCATTTTGTGGTTGGCAATTCAAGGCAAGGTGTTTGACTACCGATAATCTTATCAAAAGAGGTAAGGTCTTGCCTAATGTTTGCTTGTTGTGTAAAGAAGATGGTGAAACAGGTGCGCACCTTTTCCTTCATTGCCCTTTCTCTAGTGAGATTTGGAAATGGTTCTTTGGGCAGCTTCGAGTACCTTTGCTTATTTCTCTTGTTACCAAAGGAATTTTGGGTGCCTTTTCTGTTCATTCGCTCCCTCAAGTTGGTTCCGTTATTTGGCAAATTACTAAGGGGATAATTCTTTGGGAAATTTGGAAGGAAAGAAATAGACGTATTTTTTAAGGAAGTACTTTGCCTTGGATTAAAGTGATGGAGAAAATTTTACACTCTATTTGAGAGTTTTATCAATCTCCAAGTTGGGGAAGGATATCGTGGAAGTGGATGTTAGGTTTAACTTTTGCAACGTCTTCTAGTTGGATATTCGAAATTGTAGGCTTAGGTACGGTGGTCTCCACCGCCGTGTGGGGTACTTGAATTAAATTTTGACGGAAGTCCTTTAGGAAATCCTTGGCTGACAGGTTTTGGTGGAGTTGTGAGAGATAGTGACGAAAATATTTTGTTTATTTACGCTGGCCCTTTTGGAGAGTTGTGAGAGATAGTGATGGAAATATTTTGTTTACTTACGTTGGCCCTTTGAGAGAGTGTTCAACAAATTATGCTGAAATCGTAAAGATTTTAACGACAGATTCTTAGGCGCTACATGTATAGTTGAAGGGCACTCATTGAATGTCATCAATCGGTGCAACAAAGAAAAGAAGGTTCCTTGAAAGCTCCGATCTTTTTTGCTTCAAATTTTGGATCTCTCTTTTACCTTCTTTGTTTATCCCTATCGGGAGGCAAATAGCTTGGCTTATTCTCTTGAGAAAGAAGGTATTGTGATGGCCGTTCCTTGGAAGCTTCGATCTTTCTTGCTTTAAATTTTAGATTTTTCTATTTTCTTTGTTTATCCCTATCGGGAGGCAAATAGTTTGGCTGACTCTCTTGCGAAAAGAAGGTATTGTGATGACGGTTCTGGTTGTCTTTTATCTTGTAAGTTTCTTGACTTTCTTATCTTTATATAACTTTATGATATTCTAATAATACTCTTGAATTGCTCTCTCTCGAAAAAAATTATCATCGGTATTAGAAATTGATTTAAATCCATCCTGCATATTTCCGTTGTCAAAAGTACTTTGATGACGAGGATTTGAGGCGAGGCTTTATTTTGTTTTTATAAAGCCTCTGCCCTGGAAACTTTATCCCTTGTTTGTAAGGCGTAGGGCTGTCATAAAAACTGCATCCTAATGTCGTAATTTGGAGGAAAATGAGCTTTGAGTATTCTTTTTACTGCCACCAAACCCTCTCAATGGCCGTCTGTGACAGGTAGCTGAAATGGACGGTAGATTTAATAACTATTTTGCACCACGTGATCTCGACCGTCAGATGCGCGTCTACCTTCTCTCTCCACCAACCCGACGCTTCCATGGCGAACCAGACAAGCTAGCTTTTGCCCCTCTGTAGCTAGAGTTGATTCAACCGGTTTTCCCCGATTTCTGTAAATTAGGGTTTTGAAAGCCATGGAAGAGGTTCAGAACAAGCAGGTGATCTTTCGGAACTTCATCACTGGATTGCCCAAAGAGACGGACATGGAATTGAGGACTTCGAAGCTTTCACTGAAAGTTGCAGAGGGTTGCAGAGCTTTGATTGTGAAGAATCTGTTCCTCTCATGTGATCCTTATATGAGAGGAAGGATGAGAGAATTTTATGGGTCTTACATTCCCCCATTTCAGCCTGGAGCTGTAAGGCCTCTGTTTCCCTCTTTCTTACTTATTTTGAGCGCATTTCTCTCTCTAAGTATTAACCAAGCAACCGAAAACTTGGTACTTTCTCTCTCTACAAAGGAGACCAGAAAACAGCTACCATAGACTGGCATGTTGAGGACTCTGTTTCCCTCTTTCTCAATTGAGAATGAATTTTCTCTCTCTAAAAAGTAAACCAGAATTTGAATAGTTTTTTTCCTGAAAATTCTTTGCTTTCTTCTCCAAAAATAAATGTAATCTTTTACATGAAATTATTTGTTCATTCTCTAAAAGCTCGTGAAAAGATAGTATACAGTAAGAGCATTTACTTTGTAGAAGGAAGTCACTTATACAGCATTTACCTTTGTAGAAGTAAGTCACTTATACTCTCTGTTATAGTATGAATATGTATCATATTGATACCTATCTCTTGATAGGTGTCCTTATTCATAAGACCATAACTGTTACAGACTGTATATTTATACTGTATATTCTTTGACACATCAATAGACAGAGAGTTCTCTATAGATATTATGAGATTCTATCACTTTATATTCTTTCACACCTCAATATACATAGAGTTCTCTATAGATATTATGAGATTCTATCATTCTCTCCCTTTAGATTTCGTTTTTTCTTTGGTGAAGATTATCAGCTTTTATTAAGTGCTAATGGAAAACAATTACATCAGAAGAGACCAATGTCTCAGATAATGAAGCCCCCCTAGGTAATCAGCCACATCATTGGCATCCCTATAGAGATGATAGAAAGAGATGCAGAGAGATCTACCCAAATCCAGATAATGAAGCCCCCCCTTTGGCTAGGTAATCAGCCATATCATTGGCATCCCTATAGACATGATAGAAAGAGATGCAGAGAGATCTACCCCTATCCAGGACCTGTAGAAGCAAAGGTCTAAAGTACCCCTTCCTTCCTTAGATTCCCAAAGCCAAAACCACAAAGAATGGAGGATTTTATAAAAAATCTTATCAATAGGTAGACTAATCCCTTCAAAAGTTCTTTTGTTCCTTTCTTTCCATACTTCCCGTAATACTGCCCCTCTAGCCACTTCCCAAATTGCCTTTCCGGTCTGAGAAAAATTAGGCAGGGAAAGGTTCAACACAAGCCCTAAAATCGAATCTGGCGAAGTAATCCTTATCCCTAACTTTAAGAGAAACTAGGACCATATTCTGTAAATAAAAGAACAATGAAGGAACAGATGCGAAACTGTTTCATTATCATTCTTACACATGAGGCGTACATTTAGCAGAACTTTCCCTCTCTTGATAAGGTTGTCGACTGTCAAGATCTTATCTTGTACGGCCAACCAAGCAAAAGTTTGGACCTTATGTGAATCGACCACTTCCAAATCTGAGCAATTTGAGGCATGGACCATCTCCAATGATCGTGAAAAAGAAGGGTATATATATCCCATCTTTCTCAATCTCCCACACTATCTCGTCATCTGCAGAATTGGGGATACATACATGACCCAGAGTTCCCAATAACGTAGTCAACTAACAGTAAAAATTATTGGATACCCTATTATAGGGGAAATTGATATTCCAAGCCACTTGATTACCCTTAACTCAAAAAGATATGCTACAAGTGCATTAGGGTTATCCATTTTTTCAAAAATATCTCGAAAAGCTATTTTTAAGGGGCATTCACCAATCCACTTGTGGTGCCAAAAGGATATATCAACACCACTACCCAAACTCCAACGGATATTACGATGTATAAGAGCTTTGCATCGAAATATAAAAAATGATAAGTTTCCTGCCCCACCCCTAGCCCCAATCCACATACCAAATCTATCTACACCATACTTTGCCACCAATACCTTATACCACAAGTGATCCTTGAAATGTCAGCTTCTCCTCTACCACTTACAGAGAAGGGCTTGAGTTACCAATCTAATCTTCCTTATTCTCAGGCCCCCTTCCTTTTTTGACGAGCAAATTCTATACCATCTCAGCATCAAAGGAACCCCACAAAAAGTCCCTCATCATACTTTCAATTTTCTTCGCCACAGCCGGTGGAATCTGAATGATAGATATCTAATAAATAGGGAGGTTTGACAAACAAGATCCCAATAGAGTTATTCTTCCTCCCAACGATAAGTACTTATACTTCCAGTGATCAAGTTTGAATTGAATTCTTTGAATGATCTTATCCCAGCAAGACATCGGTAGCCTACCATTAGAGATAGACATACCTAGATAATAAATAGGGAAGGAGTCAGAACTAGCCAACTCGACAACCAAGGAATTGTCACAGTTAATACCAATCACAGACGTCTTTTCAAAGTTGACTTTGAGTCCCATTGCCACCTCACAACATTGCAGAAAGGTTTCAATATTATTAATCTTGGTGCATTCCACTTTACAGAGTATAAGTGTGTCGGCAGCATATTGAAGGTGGGATACACTAGGTCCTTGATCCGACATTTTAAAGCTCGAAAAGTTACCCCTTTTTTCCACATTTCGAAGTAGTAAGCTAAAACACTCTGCATAAAGAGAAAACAAGAAAGGAGATAGCGGATCACCTTGACGTAAGCCATTAGAGGTATTGAAAAAGCCAGCCGGGCTTCCCATGTAAAGGATGGAAAAATGGGCTGAAGACAGGCATCCAAAAATCCAATTTCTCTACTTCTCCCCAAATCCCATATCCTTCATTATCTCCAGCATTCTACCCCGCTCCACCGTATCATAAGCTTTCTTCATATCTAGCTTTATCACCACTCCTGGAACTCTATTCAATACCTTTGAATGAATACATTCCTGCACAACCAGCACGCTATCAGTAATCAACCTATCCTTTGATAATCTGAGATGACCCAAGGTAACACCAGTTTCAGCCTTTCAGCTAAAACCTTGGCCACTATTTTATATAAGCTCGACCACTATTTTATATAAGCTTGAGCGCAGGCTTATAGGTCGGATGTCACCCAAATTTGTAATTACTGATTTCTTGGGAATTAAGGCTATGAAAGTTGAATTCACACCTTTAAATATCTCTCCTCTACATAAAAAACTCCTCACCATTTCGAGCAATTCACCTGCCACCAAATCCCAAAAAGTGTGGAAAAACACTAAAGGGAAGCCATCTGACCCAGGTGACTTATCACCTGGCAGAGAAAAGACTGCTCTTTTGAGCTCATCCATATTGGTATCTCCTTCAACCCTATTTCTCTGTGTTAAGGATAGCACTTTGAAAGGCACCCGGGACAATCTAGGGGTACAACACACCTCAGATGAGAAAGCTTTTTTGAAGTGCCCATTAATAGCCTCTCCCATCTCACTACTATTCTCCGAGTCTACCCCCTGGATTTTCAAACTCGAAAGGTCATTATGCCTTCTTTGGGCACTCGCAATCGAGTGAAAAAACTTTGTGTTGAGGTCACCTTCTTTAAGCCATTTGTTTCTAGACCTTTGCTTCCAATACACCTCCTCCAGCCTACGAAGATCCGCAATGCTTTCAACTTACTGCTTTTTTCCTGCAGTACCTCCTCAGATAACACACCCAAAGACTGGATATTGTTATCAATAGCTTCAATCTCCATCAAAACCTCGTCACTTCTATGATTCACATTATGCTCATTACCTTTCTTTCATTGAATCAGTTTATGTTTGATATTCAGTAACTTTTTGTGTAATTGGAAGTTTAAAGAGCCATAAGTAATAGTATTTACCCATGTACTTTTCATAATGTCACAAACAGCCTGCTCCTGAAGCCACCCAATCTATAATCTGAAAGGTCTAATCCCCCCACAAAAGTTACTCGAGCTCAGCATACTTGGAGTATGATCGGAGGACAATCTCGGTAAGGCCCTCACCGTGAGCAAAGGAAATACCTCTGACCATTCATCCGAAATCAAGAAACGATCCAGTTTCAACATAGGCAAGTTGGTAGAACTACCATTTGAACATGTAAAAACCGTACTAGAAATTGGCTAAAAAGAATGTCTCTCAATAAAAATGATTGAAGAGCCTCATACCAAAGTTAATTGCACCCCCATAAGAGGCCTCTTCAGGCCAACGGATAAAATTGAAGTCCCCCCCCCAATGCAAACAGGATAGTTAATTTCAGCCAAAATACCATTCATATCCTTAATGAAGCGCTCTTTCAGTGCTGGGATATGAGGCCCATAAACGTTCATTAACCCCCAACAAAAACCCAGGCCCGGGCACATGAAACCCACAAGCAAAAAATTATCCCTCATTATAGATTGAAAAGATTGAAGCACCGTAGGATCCCATAAAACCCACAAGCCACCCGAAGCCCCTACTGAGTCAATACCTAAAACGCTACAGACCCAGAGCCCCAAACTTCCCGGACCCTAGAAACAGTGGGTCCAGGGAGGTTGGTCTCTTGTAAAATAAGTATTGTAGGCCTATACTTACTGACTAAGAATTTAACATCATTCTTTTGTCTGGATTCCCGCAGACCCTGTACATTCCACGATATTATGAACATTTAAAAGGGGGGAAGAGAAGAGAAACTTGTACCCTCCCAGAGCGGTCCAAAATACAACTCTTCGAGCGGTAGAGCCTCCTCCATAGCTGCAGCATCAGAGGACGAAGATGAGGAATCACGACTGATTTCCAGCATTGGAGCCTCCGGGTGGACAACTGCTTGACCTGCATCCTCTCCCAAAGAAATCCCACGAGCCATCAATCTTGCCAAAGTCCGGCTTGCCTTAACACCCCTAACTTTCTTAGACTTTCCTGTTAATTTTGCCACTGTCTTAGCAGCATCATTAACAACCTTCTTCCCTGAAATGTCACTTTTCTTAGCTTTCTTCGCCTTGTTCTTCTCAATTATATCTTTAAAAATACACCTTTAGGGATTTCAAAATTCATTCCCATATCATCAACCATCTTCGATACTTGTCCTTCAATGACCTTACCCTCACACCTACTTTCATCAGCCTTCCCTAAAGTATCCTCCGTAACACCCACTTTGGAAACAACAACACCAACACTGAGCGCAACAGCTATTTCAACAGCTCTATCATCATCTTGCTCTTCTTCTGCAACAATTTGAAGCAAGGGCATCTCCATATCTTGGTGAATAACGTTCAGGGGAGGAGAAACTTCCACCTCAACCACCGCCAGCGCTGGATCAAAATCATCCATCTCCTCATGGGCATCTCTGTTCTCTTCTTCATTAGAAGCATCATCTACCATCTCATTCTCCATCTCAATCTCCCCTTCCTCTAGCTGGTTATTAGCCCCAGGGTCTAGCTCTTTAAGATCCAGCACGATAATGGCCATGGGTTCAATCTCCGAAGGATTGAAAGAAGGCCTTTCTTGAGCATTCAAGCCCTTCCTTGCCGCACTACAATAGTGGAGGGGATACATCTTCTGAAGCACAAACCACAACCCCTGCAGCCAGAGAGGCCTACCTGAGCACTGCCTGAAGACAGCCTGCAGAAAAGCAAGAACCAAGAAGAAGTGTTCTCCCCTTCCTGGTCAGCTTATTTGGGAAAAATCCTGAAAAACTCCCTTTAGAAGATTAGGAAATCTTTCCCCCTGGATCATCCGTCTTGTCCATATCGCTGCAAATCTCCTCCCTGATCAAGGTGGACGTTTCCAATGCCGCCATAATTATCGTATTGGAACGGCTAATAGAGCCACCTGGCGAGCCGTCTCTGCCGCGATTACCCTCTTTGAAAGTCCTTATCACTGGTAATCCCGCAGGAGCATCCACAGTTTCGTGAACCACCATAACATCATCCCTGACTGAATTATTCAGCTCTACCTTCTTGTTTTATGAAAAACCCTCTGTGTATTCCGGAAAACAACCTATAGGAATCCATCTTTTAACAATTTTGAAAATTTTGAATCTACACCGATGACCAAGTCTATTCTTCTCCAGCCGTCTATTTTCCTTTGCTCGCCGGTGTCTAATCCGATCACCCTTTCTGGCAGAAATTGACCTCTGCTCCTTCCTCTGATTACCACCCTTACGATTACGAACAACCTCTACCCAATCATTCACTACCTTACACATGGGCTGAACTTCTGGCTTCTTGGTCTCCTGCTCACCTTCATAAGTTACTTTAATTGCAAAGAATTATTGGCCCACTTTCAGCTTGACCAAGTTAGGAATGAGCATACCTTTCAACTTCCAAAGTCTGACCCTAACAAATCTGAGTTCAGAGCCTTTGAAAGATTCATGATCTATATTGCAGAATTCTCCACAGGTGTTGGCCAGCTTTCTAATGATATCGACACTCCATGCATGGATCGGTATACCCCAAAGTTTAATCCAAAGCATTTCCTTACTCATGTACGACACATGAGAGCATGGTTTCCACTGATCCAACGATAGAAGTTGACCTCTTACCTTGACAAAACAATTTTCTAAAGCAGCCAACATGTCCTCTTTAGTTCTAAGCAAAAGCACTATCCTATTCTCCCCCACCACTTTCACTTCAGGCAAGTATTCCAGACCCCATCCCCATTTGGCCCAATCACTCAACCAAAGATGTCATTAGCAGGAGGAGAAAAGGAACCAACTACTGGAAATTTGGCTTGAGATAGCAAACCCTGAGCCAAATCAAAGTTCACCGACAAAAACAGCGATTGAGAGTCACCATCTCTATCTTTGATGACTCTCTCCATTGACAACTATCAAACCTCACACCTCAAATCTCTTTTTCTCTCTCTTGCTTTCTAGCCCTTTAGATTTCTAATTGGGTGTTTAGATGTGTGCTATCAATCGGGCTCAAAGTTCAAAATAAATTTCTCAAACTCTGTGACACCCTTGTAGTTGTCATATTTGACATCTTACAACTAAGTATTTTTGTGACGTCCTTGTACCAAAAGTAAATGATATTATTATAGACAACTATAAATCCTAACTAGGGGTGGCAATGGACCGAGGCCGGATGACCAAATCCAATACGGGTCCGGGTATGGCTCCAAACAAAATAGGAAATCTTGGGAGAGTCCTAACAAAATAGGAAATGCCAAATCTGTCCTAAACTTGGAAAACAACAAATTTCTACCAAATAGTGCTTTCTTCAACAATTGTGGGAAAAAAAGAGTCTAAAAGTTGGCTTAGTCTCATCCAGCTACCCCAATTGATTTACTATAATAGCAATTTCTTAGTTAAATTTTTTTTTTTTAAAAGTCACAAATGAATTATATAAGTAACGGGAATTTATGTAAATAGCCATGAGAGAAACTATTTAACATTCTACCCATATTTTTTTAATTAATTTCAAAATGCCCGTCAAAAGATACATGAGCATCCATTGGAATAGATGCAAATGGGGAAAATGTTGAATAGTTAATCGCTTTTGGGTATTTTGATAAATTTCCCTATAAATAAATACGTGTACACACGTATGTGATGTACGGTCTTGTACAAATGCCTCACATAGGCAGAATTTAGGTTTGTGAAATGGATTTTTGGAATCTGAGTGTGACAGAGATTCTCTACCCTTGTAACATAACGTATCCACCCAAATAAAAATAAAAGACTTATTGCCTCTTGTTCTTTTTGATGCCTCTTGTTCTTTTTGAAGGTTATTGAGGGCTTTGGTATATCTAAAGTTGTGGAGAGTGATCACCCTAATTTTCAAGTGGGTGACATTGTGACTGGTATGACTGGTTGGGAAGAGTACAGTTTGATAGAGAAACCTGATCGATTGCGTAAAATAGATCCAAGGGGTCTTCCACTTTCATATTACTTGGGTCTTCTGGGTATGTTCCTTCCCTTACAGAGATTCATTGATAGCTCAAGAAAATACTCCTTTCGCTCCTCACTTTTGATGAAGTCATGTCCTTAACTTCATGTGAAGCTTTTTGCATGTAGTTAGAATGTAATCATGATTTACTTTACCTTAAAGGAGAATGTTTACTCTGGTGCATTGTTGGGTTAAAATAACACATAATATTGTTTGGAACTCTTAACATGGTAGAAAGGGGTTGATGCCTAAAAAAAGGAAGTCAAGGGAAGATGGGATGGGAAAATTTCTTGAACTTGCATTTCTTGTTCCTGAAAAAGTAGTTCTCAAATGTTTGACATTACAGAAGAGATAAATGTCTTTCTTTGTATTTATGCAAGAAGTGTCTATTTGATCTTCACAAAGAAAGGCAAATATAAAGTTACAGCTGCCCTCCCTAATTGCACTTTTAACTGAAAATAACTCACTATTTATCTTCTTGAATTGCCTGCCTTCTTCTTTCTCTAAATTGATTCCTATATACAATCTCTATAACTCCCAACCCCAACCATTTATGATCTCATGTCCTCTTTTGTTGTCTCCCATCTTGTGTTTTTTCTGTTGTCATCCATCTACACAGTTTTGCACTTAATTATCAGCGTCTGTGTCTATCATGCCTTGACATTTTCAAATATGGTTTCTGCTATAATATGCTTGTGAAACAGAGTTTTCAGTTCTACGTTCTGAGGATTATAAATCATGCCTTGAGCCTTCATTTCATATGAGATTGTATTCTTTCATCTTTAGTGTGTTCCCATGCATGGTCTTTTATTGTTTTTATCAATACTCGTATTGTCACTGGTTACTCTTATACCATTACTGGCGTAATTAATAACGCAATGTCAATGAAATATTTTTATTGAAAGTGGCAATTATATTTGTCTTATGTCCATATTTTCATGTAGTGTTTGTTTCTTTAAGTATTGACTAAATGCACTATAAGAAGCTAAGTTTTCCTTTAAATTTACAGGTATGCCTGGATTCACGGCATATGCCGGGTTTTATGAAGTATGCTCCCCCCAAAAGGGTGAGTTTGCTTTCGTCTCTGCTGCATCAGGGGCAGTTGGTCAGCTTGTTGGGCAGTTGGCCAAGTTACATGGCTGTTATGTTGTTGGGAGTGCAGGATCAAAGGAGAAGGTGAGGAAGACATGAATCAATAATCTTATAGAACCAAATGAATGGATGTAGTTACACAGAGAGTACTATGATCATGATAACAATATTGTCACCACGGTCCGATCAATGGGTTGGACATTGATGGAGGGAGAGTACATTTCATGAATTCATTGGTACATCCCACTATCTCCCTATCACCATCCTACCCATTGATTGGATGATGATGATCCTTATGACCATATTGTTCCATAAGACTCAACAATAAGATTTGTAAAAGAAAAATGAATCAATGGAATGCTCCTATGTGTGTGTGTATGTGTGTACAACATGACTCCCAAATTCACTCTGAAATTTCAGGTTGATCTTTTGAAGAACAAATTTGGTTTTGATGAAGCTTTCAATTACAAAGTGGAGTCGGACCTTAATGCTGCCTTGAGAAGGTCAGTCCTTGTGATTGACATTTTCTGTTACACCGGAATTGCCTGCAACTTGTGGGAGATGACATGAGATGGGTGTATTCAGAAATTCTGATACTTATTTAATAAATATTTAAATTATTAATAGAAGTACCCAAGTTTAAGTAATTTTATTTCCAATTCATGAAAAGGATTCAACAAAATACCAAGGTTACTAGGGTTATTATGGCTTCTATACTTGCTCATGCTGCATCTTAGCAAATTCAAAATAATGGAAGAGAGAGAGAGAGAGAGAGAGAGGGTTAAACCACGTTTTTTTTTTGCATGAGCAAACATTGATACGAAAAGGTTGTTGCAGAACAGAGAAGTGTCATTAGAACCAGTTGAACTTTCTTCTTATTGGTTGAAAGGCAAAATCATCGTTCTAGCTTTCTATCATTCACCACATTAAAACACCAGGAAAGTTCTAACAAATTTTTTTTTTGATAACTGAAAAGTTCTAGTAAGTTTTCCTCTCTAAATTTTCAGGTACTTCCCTCAAGGCATTGACATCTACTTCGACAATGTGGGTGGAACCATGCTTGATGCCGCCCTGCTAAATATGCGAGACCACGGCCGGATTGCCATTTGCGGGATGATCTCTCAGCAATCTCTCTCTTCAACAGAAGGAGTCTATAACTTGTATTCCGTCATTATGAGGCGCGTTAAGGTGCAAGGCTTCTTGCAATCTGATTATCTGCATTTATATCCTCAGTTTACTGAAGCCATTATCAATTACTTCAAGGAGGGTAAAATTGTTTATGTAGAAGACATGAATGAAGGTCTCGAGAGCGGGCCTTCGGCCTTTGTTAGGTTGTTCTCGGGAAAGAATGTCGGCAAGCAGGTTGTTCGGGTTGCTCATGAATGACTCTCTGTGTGTATTTCTTTCTTATTTGTATTTGTATTGTACTAAACATATCCAGATGAGAAAATTCTGAGTTTTTTTAACTTTGCCTACTAATTCCCATAAAATAGAAATATGAAACTATCTTGTGGTTAACTTTGAAGCCAAAAAATAAAGTTAGCCACAAAAATGAGAAAATCTTGTCTGGTTAAAGAAAAATAATTGGCCGTTGCTTTCTTCAACAGGGCCACGATCATGGCTGACACGATAGAGATCATCTGATGGTTTAGCACTGGGGCCAAGGTAAAAAAATCCAATCGGAATGGTTAACTGGTCATGGAGCCGGAAGCAGTTCCGGCCTAACCGGGCAAGTCTCAGGCAGTCGAAAAAGTGTTAAGAAAATAAAATAAAATATAAAAAAATCTAATAAAATATAAAAATGATATATAAAGCATGATTAAACAAATCACTTCCAAATCTCAACCCATCTACTGTTATCTGTGGCGCACATTATGTGAAACACAACCATCCACCAAATCTATGCAAGTTGACCCAAAGTGCACATTATTGGGATGTTACTGTAATCTACAGTTGGCTATGCTCGTTGCGGTAAGTTATGATATAGCCATGAGCCAAACACACACGCCTGTATGTCTGCACATTATATATGCTCAGCATAGGCCTTCTCTCCATGTGGTACTTAGAACACAATGAACAAGATATCCACATACTTAGGCAATCACTTCCTTCATCCACATCTTCGATATGAGATAAATAAACACATTACTTCTCTATCTACAAATAAGATAAAACATACTTCCCATCATACAGCACTTTCCAAAACACTATGAAATAAAAGGGTTTGTCTACCATGATTTTTGGTATAGAGGTAATAATCACTTTTAGCCATTGGGTGTGAAATCCAATAGATGTATTTAGATGCATTTCTAGATCTTTAGTTTGATTGTACTTCAACAGTTTAGGATATTCTTTACCCTAACTTTCTAGGGTTAGTGCTGTTGGGGCTGTCTATGTTTCTAATTTACCAATGGAAAATGACACATTATTCCATTGTATGGGGGCGATTGTGTGGTTTCACCCACATTTATTTTGTTGATAGCGGTCTTTCGGGAGAATTAAATCTACGGCGCCCCCTATCCTAGATACATACTCAGTTGTCTGAATCTGATGCATGTCAAAGTGTCTTAGTGCTTTGGCCTAAAAGCCAACAGGGCAAGACATGTCCATATGGATATTACTTTACAACAAGATAATAACTTTTAATGTATATGTATACACATTTATCACATTTGGATGTTGTTGTCAAAGTTTGTTGGCATGCGATACTTCAGCAAGAATTTAAGTGTCGAATTGAAGTGTCTGGATAACATACTCAGCCCATACAGATCACACCCATCCAAGAGGGTAATTTTGATTTTCCCTTTGCCCAATGACTAAACACGCCTGACGTTAAAATGATCCTGATTAGAGTTGTATTATTGGAAAAGCCTGCATTCATATTTTATAAAATTCCTCTCTCAATACCATGTAATCTCTACAATGACTACAATCTTAGTAGCCATACCAATTATTGTGATTCAAAGTCTCCCCACTGGACCACTACAATCTTCAAATGAGTGGTAGCCATGCCAATTATTGTGATTCAAAGTCTCCCCACTGGACCAAGTTGTGGATAAGTTGTCTGCATAAATAGCAATCAGTATGACCTAAGTGTTAAGAGTCAATAAAATGTACATTGCATTAACTTTTTTTTTTTCTTCTTCTTTTGAATGGTTATGTATATTGCATTAACCCCCAGTACCATTTTACAGTTCATGGTAAAATACTCAAAAAAGCCTACATAAAGCCTTGAGATGATGGATTTTTACCATTGGAGCTTTGTCTGTGCTCAAGCTGAATATGGCTTCCTTTATTTCCTCTCTCAATATAAAGCCTTTCTAACCATCTAAGCCAAATTACTTATCAAAAAATAAACGAAAATGAAGTACTTGACAAAACATCATCCATAAAAGGCTTCAACCCTCAGAAAGCCTACACAACCTTTTTCCGAAACTTAAACTACTATCCTCTCCCAATCTGTCTCGGGAGTGAATTATGGCTTCTCTTTCATTAGTAAGCATGGGATATGAATCGACATTTGGACAACCTTAAGAACTAGGACTAAAGATCAAATTAGAATGAATAAAGATCAAATCTCATTGTTGATATCTCTGACAGGTACTTTCCTTAAGGCATAGACATCTACTTTGAGAACGTCGGTGGAGCTATGCTTGATGCCGTGCTTTTAAACATGAGAAACCACAGCCGAATCTTAGCCTATGGATTGATTGCTCAATACAACCAAGGAAAGCCAGAAGGTGTGCACAACCTCTTTTGCCTTCTAATGAAGCGCGTTTGAATGGAAGGATTCGTGGTACTTCAAAGGGAAGATAGTTTATGTTGAAGACATTGTATAAGGTCTTGAGAATGCACCCTCGGCCCTTATTGGTCTCTTGATTGGCAAGAATGTTGGCAATCAAGTAGTTGTAGTTGCTTGCGAATAATGTATATGGTTACATTAGCAAAGAGAAAATGGTGATACTATATCTCTTCATGTAAAGGCTAGATGTACTGATATTGTGCATGTGTAATTGGGGTTAATGCTAGTATATGAGCGTCTATAAGTTGGTGTTGTCCATGTGTAAGGCTTAGGATATGAGCCTCTATGTGTTGGTTCTGTCCTAGATATTAAGCCATCTTTTTTTGGTTTAAAGTTTGAATATGAGCCTAAAGTTGTTATAAATTGAAACTTTCTTCATAGATTGTTTGTTTTAGAGCAATCAGTTTGTGCCTTTAAATTAGGACTTGAAATTTGCCTAAATTTTCATTTTCTAATTTAAAGGCAATAAAAAATTTGATTGTGGTTTTCTAGCCAATTTGAGTGTAAAATCCAATATTGCCATTTTGACAACCAAAAGATAAGGATCAAAATGTTATCGTTTTATTATCTTGTTTTTCTTCACTTTGAGGTATTTTCTGTCAATCAATTGTTAGGAATGACCACAGAACTATTATTTGTTATCTATTTGTCAGAGGAGTGTTAGTAAAATGTAGGAAACCACATGATACCATAATATACAGATACTTAGCACTTCTTTAGAGGTGAAATAGGTGAGGGGTATTGCAGTATGCTTCTTTACTGCCATGCGACTATAACTAGTTGAAATTTCCAATGGATTTTTGTTACATTTTGGCCAAGTCAGTGAGTGGTACAAATGCTATTATCAAAATTAGCTTTTCAGATAACACGTCCACGTATTATTTAAACAATGAGGGACTTGAAATTTAGATGAAATTAAGTACTTTTGGCCCTGAAAATGAGTTATATGGTTACTTTTGTATATTGTAGACAATGATACTGGGAAGACTTTGCTAGTTTTCCTACTTGAGATAAAGGCGATGAAACTATTAAGCTTTTCCCCAATATGGGAAACAACTAAAATTTGACTAATATAAGGTTTGATGATGCTTGGAACTCTGGGGACTGGCAACTTGGGTTATCAGAAACCTGATTTTTGATATCCTGTTCTGTAACTTATCTAGATTTCCTATTCATTTTTAGTAACTGTTGTTTGGTTCTGTGTAGCTGTTTTAGGATTCCAATTTATGGGGATGTAACCTCTTCAAAATAGATTAACCTCAAAAAGAAAATTCCAATTCGCACTATGCACTTTAAAAAATGTCTCAAGATTGAACAGAAACCGTCTAATTTTTTGAAGGTGAGATCTCAGTATTAGAAAACTCCAATCTCAAATTTTCTCTTTTAAAAATAATTCTCTAGTGATTTTTAGGCAGTTCCTTGAATTTAGATATAACAAATTCTCCAAATTCATTTTTCGCCAAAAGGATATATGGCGATATGCTCCTGCGGGAGTATAATATACATGCTCTTATAAGAAGAGAAACTCAGGAGCGCGTATACATTGCTCCTTTAGGATCATATTATACAATAAATCCCTAGGGTAAAGGAACAACTTAGAAGGTTTTTTAATCGCAAGAAATATGAATGTACTATAGAAAAAGTCGTACAACTTTGTTTAGTTAGTCAACTAGTCAAAACTGGATAGTTTAGTTAGCTAAAATCAGTCAAACATTGATTTTTAATAATTTTAGATCTTTATCAAAAATATTTTTTTTTTTTTTTTTTAAAAAATCGATCAATGCACTAGTTCACAGTCCGACCAATCAAACCGAAAACCCTTATTTTCTTTAAAAATACTAGTCTTGTGAGTCAAAAATATCCTCTAGATCTATCATCCTTGAAGGATAAGTATTTAGTTTTAAGTACTAAATATTTGTCTTGTACTCACTGTGTGATACGTTTCTTTCTCTCGTTTGCTTATGTGTCAGCTGGTTCCGATTCCATGCCAACAGTATGCACCTTCTATGGGCTCCAACCTCACGCAATCAGTAACGTGCATGGGAGAATGCCCAAGAATAAAAATCAAATTAGCGTACACTTTCATGCCAAATGATTTCATGCTCCCATAGGAGCAAAGTGCTCATTGCTCCTTAGGCAAAAACTACGCCAGAGGTATTTTTGGGATCCCAATTTGAGGAGTATATTCTCAATGACCTGGAGATTATTTAAATTTTTATTTTTATTTACAAATTCGACAAACCTTAAAAGCAATAAAATTCCAAAATCAGATGATGTCTAACTTTGGGACAACAAGATTTAAGTATTAAAGAGCTCAAAATATAACTCCGTTTTTGCAAAAACAATCACTATTGATATTTTAATGGATCCCAAACTTTTATATAAGGAAAAAAAATCTTCTGGGTTCATTTGTACCCAAAGGAGCAAATAAATAGGTTGCTCCTGCGGGAACATAGTATACATGCTCTTTTTGAAACGATGGAAAGCGAGATCCCTTCTTCTAGTCCAAGCGTGCATTAATGAAATCATAAGCCACTTGGCCAATTACTTTTCTTTGTTTGCAACGAACAAAGGATAAAGTTTTCATAAGGCCTCGGCTCTATCAAAATAAAATAAAGTCTCACCTCGTACCAACGTAACGCTTGGCACGCAATTGCGGCAACAAAATTTTTTATAATTGTTTTAAAGTAAATTTTTAGTACCTAATATAAATTTTAAAATTAAAAAAATAGTATAGATCTTTTGAATATATGAATATTTATTTTTTATGGTAAAATTTGTAGTCTAGGTAATTTGTTATAATATATGTTATTTTTAAAATTTAAAGTCTTATTTTTTTGCCAACCATAATGTTCAAGTCGAGATGATTCACCATATTCAATGAGTTATAAGGTGAAGATTTATTTTTTGATTGGGTGCAGCCCTATCAAATTATTTTTTTTAAAAGTATAAAAATAATTTTTTTAACAATTTTAAATCCGTAAATAATGTATTAAAAAACATGAAAATTTATCCAGCCACCTCGAAAGAAGCCGACAGATGATCGGTAAAGAGATATTTCCTATATTTAATATATATTTTTTGGGCATTTTCTGCATGGTTTGGCGACTCTAATATATGAACACGTCTCTTTTGTCCAAATGGAGGCAGTGGTTCTAGAGAGAGAATGACAGGCGATAAATAGAGAGAGAGAGAGTCGAAGAGCTCGAGTTATATCGTGAGAGAGAGAGAAGGCTCAGAGGAGTTGGGTATTGGTCTTTAGAGAGAGAGAGATTGGAGTTCGTTTCTTAGAGAGAGGTAGAGAGAGGAGGCTCAGAGAAACTGGGTATTGCTTTTAGAGAGAGAAACACCAACCTCACATAGTTTTTTTTTTTTCTGAGAGGAAATGGCAGTCGGAGAGGAGGTGCGTAACAGGCAGATCATCTTGAAGAGCTATGTAAGACAGACATGGAAATTGTGCCAAGTACCGTTAAAATCAAAGTAGCAGAAGGCTCAAGGGCTGTTTTAGTAAAGAATATGTACCTCTCTTGTGACCCTTACATGAGGCTTAAAATGACCAAACAAGAAATGTCAACCTGTTTCACTGAGTACCAGCCTGGCTCTGTAAGTGCTCTTCTCCTTAACAACTTCCTCTGTTTTCATGGATTACAGTGAATTTTATTTTCTTATGTGTGTGTGTGTGTGTGAGAGAGAGAGAGAGAGAGAAATTTCCTTATTAATTTTTGGTAGTTGAGAATCATCTTGTTTGGAGACAAGAATATTAAAGATCTTTTCTTGTGGCATATTGTTTTGTAGGTATGCCTGGGATGGTAGCATATGTAGGATTTTTTGAGATTTTTTACCCTAAAAAAGGAGAACGTGTATTTGTCTCGGCAGCATCAGGAGCAGTCGGCCAACTGGTTGCCCAATTCGTTAAATCAATAGTTGTTGGTAGTGCTGGCTCCAAAGAAAAGGTAAGCTGCTATTAAGTTTTTTTTTCTCCACCATTAAAACGAGACATAATTTTACTGTTAATCTTAAATGAGAGTGAGAAGTCCAAGTTTAAGTTTAATGAAGCTCTCAATTATAAAGAAGAGCCTGACTTGGCTGCTGCATTGAAAAGGTATGCAAACTTTTTCATAATTGACGTCGTCATATTATACGGGGGGGGATTGTCTACAAAGAGACCATTTATCTTTGTATATAGAGGTTACAACCATTTTCAGTCATTAGACGTAAAATTGGATGGCTTGTCAATCTCTCTCTATCAGGTACTTCCCTAAATGCATAGATATGTATTTTGATAATGGTGGTGGAGCCATGCTTGATGCTGTGCTTTTAAACATGAGAGACCATGGCCGAATTGTGGTTTGTGGAATGATCTCTCAATACAATAGAGACAAGGCAGAAGGGGTACACAACCTCTTTTGCCTTGTATCGAAGCGCCTCGTAAGGAAAGGGTTCATGGTACTTGATCATTGGCACTTGTACCCTCAATTCCTAGAGTTCACTATTAAGCTCATAAAGGAAAGGAAGATAGTTTATGTTGAAGACATTGTAGAAGGTCTCGAGAACCCTCCATCGGCTCTTATTGGACTCTTCAAAGGCAAGAATGTCGGCAAACAAGTAGTCCCCATTGCTCGCGAATAATGCATGTGGTTACTGTTGTCACATAGCAAAAAGATAGTGTTGTTATTATATCTCTTCATGTAAGGGCTTGGTACATTGGTACTATGCATGTGTAGTTTAGGTTAAGAATTGTATGTGAGCCCTATGTGTCGGTTTTGTCCATATGGTAATGGCCTAGTATATGAGCTTTTATGTGTTGTTGTGTTGTTCTGTTTTGGAGGTTAGGGCATGACTTTTGTTTTTGAGTTAAAAGTTTGAATTTGGCTTTGAAGTTGATATAATTTCAAATGTTCTTCAGATGGTGTTTGTTTTAGAGCAATCAGTCTTATGTGCATGAATTAATTATTTCTAAGCTAGGACTTGAAATTTGCGTAAATTTTCATTTTCTAATTTGGAGATAATACTTTGATTGAGGCTTTCGAGCCAATTTCAGTCTAAAATCCAAGATTGCCATTTTGTCCCATAAAAATAACGATCAAAATTTCATCCTCCTATTGTGTTATTTTTCTTGATTTTGAGATATTTTCTAACAATAAGTTAGTTTTGAGGAATGACAACATAACCATTATTTGCAAGGAATGACAATAAAACCATTATTTGCTTACATTTAATGGTTGGTGGAGTGCTAGTAAAATGTAGTAAACACAAATTATAACATGTCAAATAGATGCTTAGCACTTGTTCAGAGCTTAAAAAGGTATTTTACGGTCACTCATTTGACTATAATGTAAATGTCATGTTATGACAAAGTTCACCTTTGCAGTTTGACTATAATGTAAATGTCATGACAAAGTTCACCTTTGCAGTTTGACTATAATGTAAATGTCATGACAAAGTTCACCTTTGCAGTATTGGGCTCTCCTAAAACTGTTTTTCAAATAAGCCTGTACAAATTGTTTGCTAACTCTCTTTTTACAATCACTAGTGTTTTATTTGAACTTTCAAATATCTATTTTTACCGATAAATTTGAAATTTTTCTCAACAATTTTTTTCTAAAGGTGAGAGACTCTTTTTAGGATTTGTAACATGTCTGACACCTAGGATTGTGCATGTGACTTTATTGAACATTTTGATTCTCACATCTCCAACTTCTACTATTTTACAGGAGTCATTACTTTACGTATGAACAATACCCTCATCACATGGTTGGTACTTATAGAACCAATCCCTACATGGAGTCAGGTAGAATGATACGCATGAATCAAGTAGTTGATATTGCAAAACTTCTTCTAATTATGACCTTCATGCACCAAATATAGATTGGTCGTAGTTTATAATTTTTCAAAACAAATATACTACTTTTTCACCAAAAAAAAAAAAAGTCTTTT